TGATTGCAACATCAGGAAAAAGGAGCAAGAGAAACTGGAGAAATACCAGGGCCTCAGAGAGGAACTGGAAAAGGCCTGGAAGGTGAAGACCACAGTACCATGTAATACCATACCAACTTTATTTATGACGCACTTTATACACCAATAAATTGATTAAAAACAGAAGAAAACTGACCAGAAGTAGAAGGGTTAAGAACACGACTTTAGCACAGGACAGCATTATCTCAAATAAAACAGGCATATGGTCTGAAAATAATGAGTCACCAATCACCAAATTAAAAACTGGTAGACCATAAGATAAAACCATATCAAGACTGTGACCATGCTCATGGGTAGCATTAGTCACAGACTGCACAAAATTAAAAGAATCGATAACATTAAGAAATGACTGAGCCATAGGTGAAGTAGGACAACAGACATGAATATTAAAATAACCAACAATGAGAACTCGGTCACACCTCGGCATGATATCAGCCAAGAAATCAGAAAAGTCATTTATAAAGTTTTTGTTGTACTTTGGTGGCTGATGTTGCAACACATTCTCACTCCCAACTCGTCATATATTGACGCTTGGGCAGGTTCCCTCAGCGTCACATGTTGACGCATCGGGTTACCCCTTCGCGTTAATAATTGACGAGAAGGGTTCTCTCATTGAATGCTGTGCTGTACCGCTAAGTGTCCGAAACTGACGATCTAGGAACGAATAAGATGACGAGTCTATTCTATTTTTTTTAAAGGCACACAATTCGTGCAGAGCTCGAATTGTGTGCTTAGCTGTATGTTTTTAACAATTTAGTTAATTTTACTTAAGTCTTAAAAGATCGTCCGGTTCTCCGAAGCCGCGATTTTATCTTCATTTCTGCTGCAACAGACGCGAATATTTTAATATGGTAGAATTACACCAGTTTCACCGATGTCATCGTCACGTCATGATTGTAAATAACGTAATATTCTCATTTTTACATAATAAAAAAGGAAACGAATACGTATGGTATTTAGAGTTTATGAGGTTACACATAATAGCGGCATGCTCCTCCGAA